GGCCAAACATTGAAGGTTTTCACACAGTGGCAACATCTGGGCACGCATTTTCCCAAAGGCATTCAGCTGGAGCTAAAAGCTAAACCACACACAGCCAAGTGTGGAGTAAGAAAGGATTTCAGAATCTGTGAATCCAGTTTAATTACAGCTTTTGTATACTGGTCTCTGTTAAGAAAGGGAATTTGGTGATGTCAGTACGATTTTACCCAATTCGAGTAGTCGTTCAGACATCATTCTACTAGACGGTTAGATTTAAACATACTGCCATTCCCTTAGACTTCAAAGATTATTGGAACAATACTCACCACAGAGCTTTAATTTCATTGTGTGATAGCAACAGGAACCTAATTCCTTGTGCCCCGCTGTGGATATTAACTTTTGGCATTGGAACTGAGGCATCGATGAGAATAAACTGGCAATATGGTCTTTCCTTCTGGATCCAGCCATGGAAATATACAGGATGGGGCCACCATAGGTTCACAGGTATTTGTGTGGAAAATAATACAGTCATTAATAAATAATGATACAAGAATAAACTCTGGGTTTCATGTACTAACAACTGTAGACCTACTTTTGCCCTACCCTGAAGGGTGGGGATGCAAAGAGCAGTTTTGGGTGGAAAAAGCACATTTTCTTCTCTGCTCCGATGCCTGACTTCTCCGATGGGGTGGGACAGAGCCACTGTATTTGCTCTGGCTCTCACAGAGAGAGATCACATCTTCCATGGCTTTTGTATTAGCAGCGTCACAGTCCCTGCCTTTGTTGTCCTGCTGCACAGCAGCAAGGGCGGCGAGATGTGAGCTGATAAAGGCCTCTCGGGGAGCACTCCTGCCCTCTTCTCTCCCCTGTTTCTCAGGCTGTTCACCTTTAGTGATGCCCTTAGGTTTCTGATTAGCGTAAGAAAAGAGAAAAACCTGCTTACTCTCTTCGTCCCATCTGACTTAAGATAGGAAGCCGTTGGATTATTTTATTTTAGGTCTTAGAGAATCTTATTTTCTTTTTCTTTTTTTAATTTTATTGATTATGGTATCACATAATTGTCCTCATTCCCCCATTCCCATCCCAAACCCCTCCCCACATATACCCCCACCCCCCTGTTGTCCATGGCCACTGGCTAGGCCCATATGCATGCACACAAGTCCTTTGTTTGATTTCTCCCCCTTACCCCCACCATCCCCTACTTTCCCTCTGAGGTTTGAGAGTCTGATCACTTCTCCTTCTCTGGGTATGTTTTTGTTCATCAGTCTATGTTGTTCATTATTTCCTCTAGATGTGTGAGATCACGTGATCCAAGAAATACCCTTGTAAGAACTGAAACTGAGACAAGCCATAATGGTTATGCTGAGAGGCCAACGAATCAGTCTGTAGTGAGTTCCTTTCTGGGCCAACAGTTCTTTTGAGTCCCAATTTCATGGCTGACACGTACACATAAGGAACTATTTGACATTGAAATTGAGAATCTTGTTTTCTTAATGTTTGAAATCGTGGATGTCTCTCCCCAAAGACGTGGGTCACTCTGGAAGGGAGAGGCGCGGATGGCATACATCAGTTATTTCCAACACCAGGGTGGGCATGCATCCCTCCTTCCTCTCACATGGCTTGGGTGCAAGTGTCATCTGGTTGAAAGTCTCTCGTCCTGCCCTGCATGGTGAGAAGTGCTTTTGTCTACAGAGCAATGCTGGGACCAGAGAGCTCTCCGGTGACAGGCAGTTTCCGTTCGGGACACCTGCTCCCGGAGCACACTGCAGCCATTGTTTCTCACCAAGCGTGTGCTGGGTCGTCCGTGTGAGCCTGCGGTCGAGTCTTGGCTCCCCCCCCCCCCCATGCATTTCGTTTTCGGTGGAACACATTTCTGTCTCGTTCTTCTGGTTTTGCTGGTGCGGAGGTAACACGTGCAGGTGGTTCATGCAAACTGGCTCTGAAGCGGGCTGAGTCGTTGGATGATGTGGACTCTCATCCCTCTCAGGAAAGACATTGGGCCTTTCTGGGCGGCAGTGTCCTCACCGGTAAACCCAGGGGTTGGGCTACTCAGAGGCCTGGACTGCCAAGTCCCCGGGTGTTTTCTGAAATGCGGAGGGTCAGAGATGGATGTGGCGGTGTTGGCCCACCGAGGGCCATGCCCCCGTGAGATGGGCAGCAATAGGGGCAGGCACTGGTCAAAGAGGGGAAACCAGGGCCTTTCTGTTTCTTTGTGGCAAGTTCTCAGAGCAATAGATAAAAATGTCCTACTTCTGAGGAAGTACTGTTGTTAGCCCTGGAGGTGTTGTTAGGCACTTGGTTGTTGAACTTTTAAATTAAGAATTACTGAGTTCTGCCGAAACCGGTTTGACTCAGTGGATAGAGCGTCGGCCTGCGGATTGGAGGGTCCCGGGTTCGATTCCGGTCAGGGGCATGTACCGTATTTTTCGGACCATAAGACGCACTTTTTCCCCCCCAGAAGTGGGGGGAAAAAGTCCCTGCGTCTTATGGTCCAAATATAGCCTACACATATACTTTAAAAAAAAAGTTTTTTTACTTGCCCGGCTCTGTGTGGTCTCTGTGTGCTTGCCCGGCTCTAAAATGGTTCCAAATGCTGCTGTTTACTTTACAGGGTTGATTACATGTGTTTATGACTGTGATGTTGGGTTTTAATGCACATAAAATATTTTAGGACACTATTTGTTTCAGAATCTTTTTTTCTTAATTTCCCTTCTCTAAAAACTGGTGCGTCTTATGCTCCGGAGCGTCTTATGGTCCGAAAAATATGGTACCTTGGTTGCGGGCACATTCCCAATAGGGGGTGTGCAGGAGGCAGCTGATAGATAATTCTCTCTCATCGATGTTTCTAACTCTCTATCTCTCTCTCTTCCTCTTTGTAAAAAATCAATAAAATATATTTTAAAAAAAAAGAATTACTGAGTTCGGGAATGAAGACTTAATTCATTAGCTCTTCTTGTTCAGATAAGAGGAAGCCAACAGATCAGGCTGATAGAATATCACACCCCATTTCTGATTTGTACTTCCATAGTGTTTAATAAAAATTTCATTAAAAATATCCTAGCCCTGCCGAAATCAGTTTGGCTCAGTGGATAAGCATCAGCCTGGGGACTGAAAGGTCCCAGGTTCGATTCCGGTCAAGGGCATGTATTGTACCTTGGTTTTGGGCATATCCCCAGTAGGGGGTGTGCAGGAGGCAGCTGATAGATGATTCTATCTCATCGATGTTTCTAACTCTTTATCCCTCTCTCTTCCTCTCTGTAAAAAAATCAATAAAATATATTTTAAAAATATTCTAGCCCTTACCGATTTGGCTCAGTAGATAGAGCCACAGCCTTCGGACTCAAGGGTCCCAGGTTCAACTCTGGTCAAGGGCATGTACCCAGTGGGGAGTGTACAGGAGGCAGCTGATCGATGTTTCTAACTCTCTATCCCTCTCCCTTCCTCTCTGTAAAAAATCAATAAAATGTATTAAAAAAAATATATATATATTCTAATAATTATAGAAAATTTGGAAAACACCAAAAGGAAATACAAATATCTCTTAATCCCATTACCGAGAAATATCCATTGTTCAAACTGTGATGCCTTTACATTATATATACCCAGTTTTAGAATAAAATTGGGATACAACCATAAATATATAACTTGGTATCTTTTTTCTTGCTGAGCTTTTTTTTTTTTTTTTGAACTTATTTTTGGGACTAAGATTTGAAATGAAGGTAGAGATTAATGTAATATTATGTTTGGCACACTTGTGACAGGGTCTGTTTTGACTTACAGAAATAGAATTATGGACCCAGTATCTCAAAATAACATTTGTCCGGTTCCTTTTTGAATAGGCTTTCAATATGTACATGAATAGATGTTGTCATAACTATTACTATCATTAACAAATGAAGACTTCCTAATCAATTAGCTTTTAATTGTTCACTAATTGCTTTTATAAGACCCACTCATTTTTATTTCTTCTGCACCAGAATTGCTAGCTGCAACATCCGTGAGCAGACATTATTTTAACACTGTTTTTCTGGATGCCATGATTCTTCAGATTGAAGCATGGTAGCTAGTGTGAGCCTGGCCACAGGTTAGACTTGAAGTAGGATAGCTTTTGCTCGAATATGTTATATACTTGGTAATATTTATGAACCACATGTTGAATATTGGTTTCATATATCATTTTCCTCTGTTTGGAAATGAAAGGTGATTAGTTTCCCCTTTGGATTATTTTAGCCCATAAAATTTTCTGCTGCTTCCTTCATTTCTGCTGCATTGAAAATACATTCTTAATTCTCAGCCACATTGGCATTTTTTCGTGACCTTTTTCTTGTGTGTCTTTTGGTGGTGCCCTTTGAAGGCCTGAAATGTTTTTTATATTTGATTGAGATTAAATCTAGGTTTCATTTTACTTAAAAAACAAAACAAAACAAAACAAAAAAAACCCCACACATATTGAGCAAGTTGATTTTCTGTTCAAGTTCCTAAGGGGAATGATTCCAGCCTTCTGTGTCCCAAGAATTCGACTCGGCCCTGCCAGAACATTCCTGTGGTTTTCCACAGGGCAGAGCTGTGTGCTCATGAAATTTTAGTTGTAGCTTGTGCTTTCTGTGGTTAATTAAAACAGCTGGCTTTTAAATTTTCCACAAACAGAGCATAAGCGCTTGGCCAAGCCTTTTCAATAATGATTAAATACTTTAATCTCCCCCTCACAATAGCCTAGGCTTTTCTCTAGGAAACTTAGAAGCGGTTGTCTCTGCTCATTAATGATTTTAAACATTTAGATGTCTGGAGTTATCCTGCCAAGTCCATAGGAGAGAGAGAGAGAAAGAGGGAGGGAGGAAGGGACAAAGGAAGAGAGGGAGGAAGGGAAGGAAAGAGGGAGGGAGGGAGGGGGAGAAGGAGGGAGAGAAAGAGAGAGAGAGAGAGAGAGAGAGAGAGAGAGAGAGAGAGAGAGAGAGAGAGAGAGAGAGAGAGAATGAATCTCCTTCTAGTCTTCTAATGCCTTCTGGCCTTTGGCCCTGCAGGTTGGAGCTGTGGTGGGTGAGCTGCTGCGTCCATAGCCAAGCATGCTGTGGTCGGACCTGCCCAGATGTGGAACAGAAGCATTTGCCGGATGGAAAATCCATAAAAGAAAGCTGCTGTGAGAGCCTGAGACAGACCATAACTTAAAGCGAGACCAGGTTGGTATGAGATAACAGAGGCTGTGTCAGATGCGGAAAATTTGTTTCATTAATTTTACGAAGTGTTTTTTTTTAAAATTTATTTTTATTAATTTCTTTATTGATTAAGGTATCACATATTTGTCCTCAACCCCCCATTCTAATCCCCCTCCAACCCCCCCACTCATGTCCCCACCCCCCCCTATTGTCCTTGACCACTGGTTAGGCTCATATGTGTGCACGTAAGTCCTCTGGTTGATCTCTCCCTTTTATCCCCACCCTCCCTTTGAGGTCCAACTCATTTTTGATTCTTATAAGTATATTTCCAGTAGGACATGATCTCACTCATCTAGGGGAAATGGTGAACAACAAAGTGTTTTTGAGGCGACCCCGAATAATCATCCGGTTAGGTGAGAGCATCAGAGAAGTGGCAGATGCTGCGCCCTGATAGACTTCCGCGTACAGGGCATTGTTGTCTTCCTTCTTCCTCCCCCCGCCCCCCATCTTCCTCTCCTAGAGGAGAGAGGAAGATCTCAAGCACAAATATATGTGACAAGCCACTCCTAACAACCCAGTGATCTCGGCTTTATTTTGGAGAGAAAGCAGTGACCCTGAGAAGCAGGACTGGCTCCGCCCTTTCAGAGGCGTGCCCCCATGTGGGTTTTCACACGGTGAAGGGTGATCATGGGGGCCTGCCACGTGAGGGGGTCATTTCTGTCTGTGCTCCTCCAGTTTGTGTGGCAAGGTTTTACTTTTGTCTCCCCCCAAAGCAAAAGCTGGCAACACATTTGGTTTCAGCAGAGAGAGTGCTTTGGGCGTTAAGATACTCATGTAGGACAAAGGAGAAGAAATCCCCTCAAGTAACAAGAACGTAAAGAGGGACAAAAGGAAATGGACCACGAGAGTGACACTGCCCGGCCTCACTGGCAATAAGATGGAAAATAATTCATTGAGAGACAGGGGATTGTGTTACAGGGATGGGCACTGCGGACCTTTTATCAGATGCTCAGTGGGAAACGCAGCATCAGACATGACGCGCGGCTGATACATACTCCCTGGGAGGGAGCGGGTCACCTGTGAAGTGCTGAGCTGCTGTTGACTCTGCCCACCAGCATCCTTTCCTCCTCCAACAAATTTCCCAGGATTCCCCGGGCAGTCACCCTTGCTTTGCTTTTAGCCTGTGGCGTTGGAGGAGGTGACCACAGTGTCTCTGTCGTGGGCATCTGACATAGCCTGGCTAGTCAGGGTCACCAGGATCGGTTTGTGGAGGAGCCCCAGTGTGTTCACTGAAATGATTGCAAAGACATTTTTCCTTTCTGTGGGTTTGTGAGGCTGGAGCTGCTGGCTACTCTGTGCTACCACTTAAGGAAAGCCGCCTGTGAGCGAGGTCAGCATAGGAAATCAGAGCAGGGAGACGGAGGAAACAAAATGAGAAGGGAAGGAGTCACACACACATACAAACACACACCACACACACACACAATACACACACCACACAACAAACAAAACACATGCAGTATACACAGCACATATAACACACAACACATACACCACACACTACACACACAATACACATAAAACACACATAGCCGAAACTGGTTTGGCTCAGTGGATACCGTGCAGGGATCCTCAAACTTTTTAAAGTGGGGGCCAGATCACGGTCCCTCAGAGAGCTGTAGGTCCGGACTATATGAACTACTAATTCCTACTGTAACACCTCAGCTGCGCTCACTGCCCAAAAAACCTGGCGGGCCTGATCAGACTCCTCTGCGGGCCGCATGTGGCCCTCGGGCCGTAGTTTGATGACGCCTGGTAGAGCATCGGCCTGCGGACTGAAAGGTCCCGGGTTCAATTCCAGTCAACGGCATGTACCTTAGCGAGCACATCCCCAGTAGGAGGTGTGCAAGAGGCAGCTGGTCGATGATTCTCTCTCATCGACATTTCTAACTCTATCCCTCTCTCTTCCTCTCTGTAAAAAATCAATAACATATATTAAAACACACACACACACAACACACATACAACACATACAAAACACACACACACACACACACACACACACACACATACACACAATTTATGGTCCCAGATTCGGCATCCCCTAAAGTCAGCAAATCCATTTTCACTTTCCTGGCAGGTCAGCTACTTAGTTTGGGTTAGTGTCCATCACTTACATCTGCAGACATTTTGATGGGTGATGCCTTTTCCGATGGGGTCTTAGCATGAAACGACTGTGGCAGTCCCTGCCCTCAGGGGCTCACAGAGAGAGGGTGGGCTGGATCAGTATTTGGCCAGCTGGCAGTGAGAAATGTATCAACAGAGGTGAGAACTAAGTTTTGTGGGAGTAGAAGAGATGGAATTATAAATTCTGCTGGGTAGTGGAGACATTAGCAGAGAGAGCTATTATTTAACAAAGGAGAAATAGGATTTTTATGTTCAGGAACTTTTAAAAATATATACTTAATTCAATTACTTGCTTTTTGAATCTGAAAGAAAGGGAGGCTTTCCAGAGGCTGTCGTTAAAATAAATTGCAGATAAGAAAGGTAATTTCGGAGCTGGCTGGGAGTAGAATCTTGGTATTTACTGTAAACACAGTTGTCTCAGGGCAGCCAAATGAGAGGTTATCAGAGAGCTGTCCAGAGTTTATTTTAACACCACAGGGTGACAGTTATTCTTCTTAGGAAAACCTCAGCCGGCTTTCTGTTCCAGGCAGAATTTCAAGTGTGTTATGAATTTTAAAGATTTATTTTCTCTTCTTAATATTAAACTTTATTGTTTTATTTCTTTTTTTTTTTTTATTATAATGGACATGGTTTGCTTTTTTTAAAAAAAAATCATTGACTTTATTTGGGCGAGGGCAGTTTTAATTTACAGAAAAATTGAGCAGACAGTACAGAGTTCCAACCACCCCTAAGTCGTTCCTATTATTGACGTCTTGCGTGAGCATGGTGCGTTTGTAAAAAGTGATGAGCCAACCTTGACACTCTACATGGTCTACATGAGGTTCACTCTTTGTGTTGTACATTTCATGAGCTTTGACTAATAATTAATGACATATATCTGCCATAACAGCATCACACACAATACTTTCACTGCCCAGAAAATCCCATGTTCTAATCCCTCCCACTCTCCCTCCCTCCCTCTGAAGTTTTGGCGACTACTGGTCTTGTTACTGTCTCCACAGTTTTGCCTTTTCCAGAATGTCATATGGAATCATAAGTATGTATCCTTTCAGATTGGCTTCTTTCACTTTGCAATATGCATTTAAGACTCCTTCTGTCTTGACCGTTTTTTAAATCCTCATCCGAGGATATTTTTGCATTGATTTTTAGAGTGAAAGGGAGAGGGAGAGAAACTTTGATGTGAGAGAGACACAGCGATTGGTTGCCTCCCGTGTATGCCCTGACCAGGGCCGGGGATCGAGCCTGCAACTGAGATACAGGCTCTTGACCAGAATCAAACCCAGGACCCCTTCAGTCCACAGACCGATGCTCTATCCACTGAGCCAAACCAGCTAGGGCTTGACAGTTCTTTTTAATGATAATATTCTATTGTCTTGATATACTACAGTTTATTTATTCCTTTACCTACTGAAGGGCATCTTGATGACTTCCAAGTTTTAGCAGCTGTGAATGAAGCTGCTATAAGCATCAGGTGCAGGTTTTTGTGTGGACATAAGTTTTCAACTTCTTTAGTTAAACACCAAGGAGCATGATTGCTGGATTGTATTGAAGAGTACGTTTAGTTTTGTAGGAAATTGCCAAACTGTTTTTCAAAGTGTTTGTACCATTTTGCATTTCTACCAGCAGTGAGTTTCTCCACATCCGCCCCAGCATTTGGTGTTGTCAGTGGTTTGCATTTTACCATTCTAATATGCGCATAGTGGCATCTCATCTTTGTTTCTCATTGGCAATTCTCTAGTGATGTATGGTGTTGAGCATCTTTTCATATGCTGTTTGCCATCTGTATATCTTCTTTGGTGAGGTATCTGTTCAGATCTTTTGCCCATTTTTTAAAATTCGATTCTTTATTTTCTAATTGTTGAGTTTTAAGAGTTCTTTGTGTTTGTGTGCCAGCCCTTTATCAAATATGTCTTTTGCAAATATTTTATTCCAGTTCTATGGCTTACCTTTTCATTCTCTTGACAGTTTCTTTCTCATGGAAGAAAATTTTAATTTTAATGAAGTCTAACTTGTCAATTATTTCTTCCATGGATCATTGGTTTTGAATTTAAAAAGCTATTGCCAACCCAAGGTCATCTAGGTTTTCCCCTATGTTATTGTCTTGGAGTTTTATATTTTATTTTTAGGTTTATAATATCTTTTGAGTTAATATTTGTGAAGGGTTTAAGGTCTTTGTGTATATTTCTTTCTTTCTTTCTTTTATTTTTTTATTTTTTTTTGTATGTGGATGCCTAGTTATTTCAGCACCATTTATTGAAATTACTATCCTTTCTTCATTGAATGAATGGCCTTTGCCCCATAGTCAAAGGTCAATTGACTCTATTTGTGTTGGTCTCTCTGTTCTCTTCCATTGATCTACTTGTCTGTTTTTTCACCAATAACACTGTCTTGATTATTGTAGCTTATAGTAAATCTTCAAGTAAGATAGTGTTAGTCCTTTGACCCTGTTCTTTTCCTTCAATATTGTATTAGCTGTTCTGGGCTTTTTGCCTCTCCATGTGAACTTATGAATCAATTTAACAACATCCACAAAAGAACTTGCTCTGAAATTATGTTGGTTCTATAGGTAAAGTTGGGAAGAACTAGCATGTTGGTAGTATTGAGTCTTCTTATTCATGGAATAACTATTTCTTTAGATCTTCTTTGATTATTTCATCAGAGTTTTGTAGTTTCCCTCATAAGGATCTTGTACATATTTGTTAGATTTATATCTAAGTGTTTCATTTATTTTGGTGCTAATATAAATAATATTGTGTTTTTAATTCCAAATACAAATTGCTTATTAATGGTATATAAGGAAGCAAGTGACATTTGTGTAATTAAGTTGTGTTCTGCAA